AATCAACTATAACTCATTTAAATAATAAAATGGTGATTTAAAAATATTTTTCTAAACATTAGAATAAAAAAAAAAAAGATCCACCAAAACCTAAGATATTAAATAAGGATTATTCGATGGATTTTTGAATATTTTTTAATCGATGTTTCATTTTGCAAAATAGTATTTTATTTGCAATTAATTTCCGTAAAAATAGTAAATAATCAAAAGAATTTTCCAAATAACCTTTTGATTTTTTTTTAGAATTATTACATTGTGTCATAATCGTGTTTGTAAATCAATTTCATGCACATGCCGATATTAACGTATGTATACACAAACTTAATAAACAAATTTTCTCATGCGTACCAAAAATTGATGACAGTTCGAAATTACATTGATTTCGGTTTATAAAAGTTTTTCATGGAGAGTCCAGCGCAGCATATTTTATAACTACGTACTGCAGTCATACGTACCAATATGATATCATCTACCTACACGCATAGAGGTACTTTCTAAAGAAATGATGAATTAATTCTACATAGACATGAATTAATCCAAATTCCTAGCAATTTCTTTTAATTGTAAAATACATAAATTTTTTTTACCGAATAATAATTTTTATGGACCATCATCGAAATATTACTATTTTTTTCCTTTTTGAACACAAGAAATTCTTGAAATAAAGAATATAATAAAATTTACTATATTCATTCAAATTTTCTGGAAGAATCTTATCAGTAGAGTACATAAAACACAATATTTTGTCTTAAGAATTACGATGGTACACAATATATCCTCTTTATTATGCTGCCACAATAAGAGTTTCATTTTTCTGTGTTTTTTTTTCGTCTCAAATAAAATGCAATTGGTCTTTTAATTAAATTAATATTTAAAGAATAATAAAAAAAAGTATTTAAAATAATAAAATACTGAAAAATATCCTCAATTATATCTTTTTATTTTTAAGAATTATCTTCAATACCATTTTTACTATCATAGTCTACAATATTGCTTTAAATTTAAAATTAAATTATAGTCAGATTAAATCATTCCAAACATCTCGCCATTTTTTCATAAAAATGAAACTACATAATGAAGTGTTTGCAAAGCTCTGTCACGGTTCATTCTACATACATTTAAACATAATCAATAATTAGAAATACTTGTATCCCAACTTTCTAACTCCAATCATCTCCAGCTCACATTTTCTTCTTCAAAATCACTAGAATCAACACATAACAATTTGAAACTAATTTTTACTCCAAAATAATGTCAATAATCTGAAGCTAAAGAAACAGATGATGTATTTGATGATTATTAGGTACATCATTTGACAAATGGCATTGGACTTTCTCTGGATGGTCATGCATAGAATAGAGGACAAATGATGGAAGATTGATTTTCAACTAACTTGACTAAGTATATACATATTGTACATATTTGTGCGAATGATACCGTTATGGCAGAGGCATATATTTATGCTTCTGTGATACATAATGGCTGTAGCGTTAGATATCCCAGTGATAGGGGGCTCAGATAGTCATCTAGCGGTCAATGTAAAGAGAGAAAATAGCAGAAGAAATTGGCACGTACTCTCTCGAGTCATCCTACACAGTCGTGCCGATGGTCCGGTGACTCAAGAATTTCTATCGTATATACGACGGAAAGAGAAGTCTCGCACGTGCAACATAGAGGGTCGACTCCTTCTTATCCTTCTTTTCCTTCTTCGCCGTATGGTATTAACGCTGGGAATGCATTAGAGGTGGAGGTGCTGGAGATGGCAACGTGGCCACCATGTGTGCGGCCCACAAGGGCAAGTCGAGGCAAACTCAAGTCTTTTCTTGCATTTTCTGTCTCACTCTTACACCATATTCTCATTGCCTTTATCTCTTTTTACTCTTTACTATCTGACGGTTGCCGTCGAGTAAGAATAACGACTCTCCCCTCAGTCTTGCTCATCTCGCCTGTCCGCCCAGTCCCTGATGAATAAAAACATCATGAAAATGGGAAACGTCAACGAATTTCTTCGCAGATCTTTAATTCAAACGTACTTAGTTTTTTTCACTTCGACGCCTCACCAGGTTCATGACTCCCTTTTATTAGACACGTCCGTCTTTAATTTTATATTTTACAAGACTTTATGCATATTTCTATGGTATTGCTGAAAAGACATTAACATCTTTTTTTTGGTCGTCAAGCAGGAATTGAGTGAGTTTGATGGAATTAAGTCATCCAAGTGAGGAACTTGTCAATTACTTGATCGAATTAATGAAGTTTTTTTTTTTTATAGAAAAATATTTTTTTTTATTAATATGATTTTATGGTAATTATTATTTATTTTATCTAAATGAATGTTTCCCTTTTTTTCTTTCAACTTTTATGATCTTTTTACATGTAAATTAGAGTACATCTAAAAAATATAAATGTGATAACATCTCACTTATTCTCTAATTTTGATACTCTCAGTAGCGTTTGTATTTTTTTCTTATTCTAATGTGCTTTAATTCGTGAAATCTTAATACATAGTTTTCGATAATTTTTTTATAAAAACATTCCTCATTAAGAAAATTTTTTAATTCATATTTAAATTCACTCTTCACCTAATTAAGAAACCTTTTGAACTTCACTAATGACAGAGATTCGAAAAAAAGCTATTCTTCTTTAATATTATTGTTTCTCGAGTTGTTAAAAAGACCATTGTTCCTTACATTTTTTGTTAAATATTAAAATTAAAAGAACTCATTCACACTATATCATTTTTTCTCAAAGAGAAGAATAATTTTTTACTCGTAAACACTTTTATCTGATAAAACTAATTTAAAAATGAAATGAAAATAAGCAAGCAAATGAATGATATCAATAACAAAAGTAATTGGTAACATTAGTTTGTTGAAAAGGAGTTGGATCCATTTTGCAATCTCCCAGAAGAGAAAAGAAAAAGTAGAAACGTAGAAATTCGGTGGGTCGATAAAATTCTCCAGCATAGATCCCAGACACCTAGAAAATGAAACTCGAGTTATCAAAGCAACCTAGAGATTGAGCTTCACTGAAGAGCTTTGGAGAGAATGCTCGGGCAAAGGTACAGATGAGTCTTTGGTAGAAAGAGCGAGGGTGTGTGGGAAGAAGGGAAGGAATGAAAGTAGAAGAGGTGGAGGAGTTAGAGAAGCACACGATAGCAAGAGGGTAAAAGGAGACGAAGGGATAATTCCCCCGTTGCGCTCGTACTGGACTTGGGTTTTTTGCGAGTTGGAGTGAGCGTCGAGGGGCGAAAGAGACCAAGTGAGGAACGGGGTGAGAGAGGTAACGTGGGTTACAGGGGCTGCACTATGGAGCGAGAAACACAGGAAGGAGGAAGGCGGTGGCGCAGCAGCGGAGGTGACTGCGACGAAGAGAGAGAGAGAGACGAGGAAAGGGTGGTTCTCTAGCTTCGAGATCCATAGGGGTGCCCAGCTAAAGGGTAGGGGACCACCGCCCAAGGCTTCCAAGACCCCAGGTCTGTCTAATACCGAGGGGACTTTGTTCACGCACAATCGATGAGATAAAGTGCTGGTTTTCACTGTTAACTAAAACTCCACACTCCTCTGCCGCCAGTTAACCTGGTTAACTATTTATTTATCTTATCTTGCAGACTGCAACTAGTCCAAATCATCTTGTCTCTGTTTGTGATCTAGAAAAAAACTTTACGGGACTTTCTTTACTTAGAATACTTGATGTTTTCAACTAATTTCCCTTCTACGCAACCACAGACAAACTGTTGCTCCGATCGCATTCATCAATTTATATATATTCTATTACTCTACAACTCTACCACCACCATCACCACTACCACCACTACTCTTACTCTACTTCTTCTCCCTCATTCTTCAGTAGACTTTTCAAGTTCAACGACGAAGCAATCAGTCACACATCCCTCCTCTTTATTCACATTTACACACTCTCAAATACTTTTTTGATACATTTTAAATTCTTCATTCATCTTCTGTATTTCCTTCACTCATTGGAATCCAATTTCAAACAACTCTTTACGATTAAATGATTCTCTTCGAAATTGCTGTGGTTTACCCATTCAACTCTATCTCTCCTGTTAATCCTTTAAATGGTAATAAACACAACATTATCTCAATAATACTTTATTTTTGTTTTCAGTGTCATTTAATCCCTTAATCCTATTACATATTCTAACCTGTATCAATCAAATTGCGATAAATATTATTATTTTCTTTTTCTCCGTCAACTGCTGAGATTCCTAATAAATTTGATGGTCATTTAAATGACTTTGATCGAAGAGTCGTCAAATATTTCTAGAATAAAGTTCTACTTTGCTATCAAAGGCTATCAAAAAGACCAAGAAAAAGCACAAAAGAAATTGTTCAAATAAATGAATTGTCCATGTAATTTTTCCAGAGCCATTCTACCACTACTCTGTACTTACGTAATTATTTTGAGTGACGGCAAACTGTCATTGTCCTCTATGCGGGTCAACTTCAAGCCGAATTACCTTATCCAACACTCGAGTACTTCCCTTACATTTCCAAGAATGTCAGTAGACCCGGTGTAATTTACAGTACATGCAAACACGTTACTTAGTAGTCAGTACAAGAGGAGCAAGTGAGAAATGGGGAGAGAAGTAAACGAGAGGAATAAAGAGCCAGAGAAAGATAGAGTGAGAGAAGGAATGAGTGAAGTTTCCCCGATGGCTCGTCCACATCCCACGTCCACGTCGGACGGTGTAACGCATACATAGCCCATCTTTCTCTCTGGACGTGAAGAGAGAATCCGCGTGGAAGCCCCTTTCGGCCGATGAGTGTTAGCTTCTCCCCTCGGTCCCCCTCACTATACCGCACCCCACATCACTACCACGTGCCTCTTCCGCCCTCCTAGAGCTCTTCTACGGCTCCTTCTCTCCCGCTGTGCTGCTTCTACACTCGACCCCTCACTCTGACGGTGACAGACCCTACCTTACCGCCGCCGACGCCGCCGACGTCGTGGCTTGGCGAGGGGAACACCACTCTACCACGAGAGTCCACGAAGAGAACGATTGAGGGGTGAGGGACGTGGAAGGGCGAACCAAAAGGTGGGGGATCGCCGCCGCGTCGCCAGCCGTTAGTTCGCCGTGTGCGCTCGTCACGTGAGGATCTGCTGTTTTATTAACTATTTTCACATCTTGCTCTTTTGACGTCCGGATATTGTTGTATTATTTATTTACAAAGAGCATTGAGGTCCTGACGAGGACGACTCGATATCACAGGTGAGATTGGTTCATCAAAACCATCAAATAGTTATCAAGAAATTGAATATCAAGTAAATTAAAAAAAAGGTGAAGCCTGTGATCAGTTCTGCAGACAGCATAAACTTGACAGAAACGTGTGACACTACTTTACTTGAAGATCTTTTAGCTCTGCACTTGAGACTTGTAACGTGGGAGTTTGAAATATCGTTAACATGACTTGGGATGTTGTGTTTTATTAATTGGCGGTCGTTTAATATACACGATCAGCCATTGGCGAATGAATACAATCGCGTGAACCGGAAAACGCGGATTGCGCGCGGTTTGTGGTGCGAATTTGACTAGTGGGAAAACTTTTACAAGACTTTGCACTCGGACCACGCACCCAATACGTCGTATAGTTATTATCGTCGTTGCGTCATGTGTTAACGTTCTAACGCTTTTTTTTTTCTTCTTTTGATCTTCATCACCTTCAGCGCGTTCGTGCCTTTTTCATCGTCTCAAGCCGGCACTCAGTGCAGTCCAGCTAAGGCGTGTGTTGATTGGACAACGAGTTGCTGTAAAACAACCAAGAACCCGCGATTTTCTACGTGGGGCCAGGCCTGAATATGTCAGCGAAGCGAAAGGCCACTGCCATCATGCAGCACCACAAGGTGAGTCGACGAGTTTCTTTGTCTCTTTCTCTTTCCTTCTTTTTCCTCTCTCACCACAACTCCGTCACGTCCACGTGATCTCCCTCTCTACTTAACTTTGCACCCATTATCGCATATTATAGGGGTGCTACCGTTTTCACAATAAAAAATATTTTTTACTCCAAAAATTCCAGATGAAATTGGATTAATACTTGCATGAGAATAGCCATTATAGTGGCTAGTGATCAGTTAATTAACTTTTTCAAAGTATTAAATTCTTTAAAACTCTACAAAATACTCTAGAAAAAAAAGCCTTTGTTGCTACATTTTTTTTTATCTTGATTTGTCTATAATTTACAACAAAAATCAATTTATTGTAAGTTTCATATTTCTTTCTTCTATTTTTTAAGCTCTTATTTAATATCAAAACTTTGTAAAGGAATTATATTTTTCAAAAAATCTTTCGCGTAACAAAGAAAAAAGCTTTAACGTAAATCGATTAGTTGTAAAATTTTTTTTAGAGTATTTAAAAAGAGTTAAAGAATATATATTTAAGTGTTGAAATTAGAACAGTTTAAAAATGTAACAACTTTTTACATTAATTAAAGAGATGGTTGGAGAAAAAAAATATTTAAGTATCAGTTAAATTCACAATTTGATGTACATAATTAAAAAGGCATTAACCAAGTCTCGACAGAGTGTGAAACAATAAAAAGAGGTTGGGATGCTTAGCACTATTGATGTTAAAAAAAAAAAGAGAACATTTTCATGTTTACACGTCGGTAATTGAGCGTGAAGATCGTGTAAATTATATCGATCTCCTGACAACCAGTCAATGGATATATAGTCAATTATATCTTCGGATATCCTGTACATAAAAAAATTCCAAAATAACAACTTTACAAGATATTTTATTAATTAAATCATAATTTACGTATTTTATTGTATTGAATTTCATTAAATTTATCAGTTATCTGATTTTTCCAACAAGTTTTCAATTAATTGTGTAAAGTGCATATTCTTGACGATTTAGACAACATCAAGTACATTTATTAAACAAACATAAATACATGTTATTATTATTTATAAACTTTAGTTACAAATAAAAAAATTTAATCTTATCATTTAGTTTTTTATTTATAGTGCAAATCATAAAGTTTTTTTCACTTGTTCATGAACAATGATGGATTATTTAACATTCTTTCAATACTATCAGAATACTAGAAAGCTTTATAATTTATATTTGTAACATATTTATACGAAAATAACTACTTTCTATCAACCCATTAACAAAAATTCTATCTTTAATCACAATTATTAACCTCCATGATAATCAAAATGACAAATTAATTAAGAAAATGGAGGAAATAATTTGTTAATAATTGAATCTAATTAAGGATGAATTTTTAATGATATTTTATTTGAATGGAAATGGGCAAAAATAAAAGGCCTGAATGTAACGGTATAATCAGTAAATCATAAAATAAGTTGAGACAAATCGATAAATTCGTTTGATTCTTCAATCGAACCGCAAAAATTACATTAGACTTGAGGTAGGTTCGGGATGATCGTTTATCTTTGTCTCGCCAATATCCAAGTTGTATTCTATCATTCTTGTTGGTACTTTTCGCTCTTTCTACCTTCTTTCTCATTCGTCCAACCAACTATTCGCGTACTTTGTTTCTCTTTCGTACGCTAAAAGTTATCCTAGTCGCTCTCACACAGCAGCAGTTCACTCTTTGGCGGTCCAACAGGTTATATTTTTCCAGCATCTCCCTCTCCTATTTCAACGTCCTCTTGCATCTTTTTCTCCCTCACTTCTCTTTCCTCTACTCTTTTCATCTGTCCATCTCCCTTTAATCCTCTCTTTGCCCTCGTTTCCTCTTTACCTCCTTGTCTCTCTCTCTCTCTTCCTCGTTCACTTTTTTTGTCGTACCGGAGGCTGTCCGTAGATTTAAACTTTTTACGTGTGCGCGAAGTGGATAATAGGATCGTCGCGACTCGAGTCTTTTCCTTTACACGACGTCTAAAGGTGGACCATAGAAAATGCCGATGACCTCTTTAGACGACTTACAGTATCCACTGCAAATAAAATACCACAATCATTCTTTGAGCCTTTTTCCTATTGAAAAAAAAAGCTATACTTTTGATGTAAAAACCATTGGAAATATTTTAAAAATCTGTCTTTTCAGTATTTTCATCAAACAAAAACAGGAATAACTTTGTTTCATGACAGATGAATTTCTTTATTTTTTAAGAAACCGATAAATTCTTTCGACTGAGATTTTTATCATTTAAAAGTATCGCTAAATATTTGCAAAAGACAAAATCTTTATTGAGTTACAACTACATACACTATAAATTTTTGATTTGTAAATGTTTTAAATCTCTAAATAATAAAACTCAATTTTTGAAAATAAAAAATGATTAAACTCCGAGTGATTGCAGTACTTGTAAATTAAATGGCAAATGAAAAAATCATTTCAACAAAAAAAAAAAGCTGTTATTTTTGAGAAAAAAAATTAATCATGATGTTGAATATTCACAAAACAATGAATTTTTTATTTAGAAATAATAGTCGTCAGAGTATTGGGTGTATTAAAAAATACCTTAAGTCGTACATTTTTATTTATAAAAAAAAAAAAAAACAAATAGAAGGAAAAAAAACTGTCACTATCATAAAGCTCTTTCTTCTAAATCCTTTGTTTTCAAATCGATCACGAAAAATACGGCGAGAGGAAAGAATGACAATGAAAGGAAGGAAAACCCTTGAAAAGGGTATGGATTTCCCATAAGATGAAAACTTTAGCGAGGATAAGGGTGTGCCTCTAGAATGTCCAGATCTATTTGTGCTAGTATATAAAAGTGTATGAGTACATAGCATACCCTTATAGCAGTAGTGTGTAGCACGAGAGAGAGAAATATTACCAACTCGCTCTCATTTCCAAGCGGACAGTTACCAGGCTTGTACACACACATCCAATATACAACGTTTTGCGCTCGCGTGCTATCCAATCGACCAACCCCCATTTCTCGTTACTCCGTTCATCCCCTTTTGAAAGTAACATAAAGGGCACGAAAAACTTGTTTTTTCCTCTTTTTTCTGATAACTGTCATAACGTGAAAAAAAAAATTATCATCAATTTTTTCTCGAGTTTACCAACAGATTCGATGATAAATCTACTTTGGTCGTGTTTAGAGAAGCATTTTAGAAAATAATATCAGACTGTGTGGTAGAAAATAGCGAGAATGGAATTTTCTAGCCAATAATCTACTCCTCCTTCTCGCTTGGACTCTGCACGAAGGCTTATCGACGCCGGTGGACGCGGCCGGTCGACAACCGTGAGCTCACGGGTCTCTCATACACACACATTGATGTACAATCGAATACACACCGGAATTGCACGCGGTAGGCGTGTGTTGATAGCAGAGAGCTGATGTTTGTTGCTGGCAGCATCGTCCTCTGTGTAAAAGCCTTCTCCTTGCCTCTCGCTCACTGTCCGCACACACGAGTTGGGTGATTCAGGGAGCCATCCGTGTCAAGGTACACCGCATCGATGTCCACATGCGACGCCCTGTCTTTTTTTTATGGCTATGCCAGTTGCGAATCGTCTGATCGAATAAAAACGACTCAAATTCAATGCTTGCTATTTCTTGTCGACATCTAAACTATTTCTTGTTCAACAACTGAATTCTTTCTCTATTCTTTTGCTTTGCTTTGTTTATCACTAATTCTATCGCTTCATGAATCATTACTTTTGCACGAATTCTACGAAGGTTGAGGATTCTTTAGCTCATTATCGGTTACGTAATTGGTAAAGAGACTTTTCATTTAATGTTAGTCATGGTCTTTTTTATTTAGAGATCATTCATTTTTTTTTGTTGAAAGATGTGAGTTTTATTTATGCGAGGTTTTTGTTGTTGTTAAATAAATAGTTGGCTGATCGATCAAATTGTTCATGAAACTAGGGTAAGTAGACCACTAAGTAGACAGTGCAGATAGTTGAATTAATCAGAGACATTTAGAAATATCTTACAAGTACCGCTGTAAATATTTAATTCATTAAAAAAGAAGGAAAAAAATTTTTGGAGTAAGAATTTTGTTCCTGATCCAGAGGTCAGATAAATTATTGCTCCAAACATGTATTTCTCTCTTAAAAAAATGATAAACTTTTTGGTTTCCACGTTTATTTCGGTGAAAGTTCATAAAATATCAGTTATTACAGCCCAATAATAAATGTAAATTTCAATAATTACATATTATTAAAAATAATAATTTTAATTAATAAAGCAACTATAAATTACAAATATTCATTTCGAGTATATAAATAAAAGCTGTTTCATTATCATCAATCATCATTTATTATATTGACTTTTCTTTATTCACTAATGCATAAATTATGCACAACTCTACAACAACTGCATATGAATTTTTGAAAAGCACACTCTATATAAATTAATACATCTTCAATTTTTAATCTAAAAGAAAAAAAATAAATTCATTAGTTAATATAATAAAACAATAGGTTTTTGTGTAGCTTTGAATTTTAATTTTCTCGTCTCTCCGGATTTGAAGCCCATAAATCCGACAGAATAATGACACGTCTCATAAGAAATTCCTCGATGCATTCCTCTGGTTAAATTCACTTGTCACAGCGCGAGAAAGCATACGAGATGGTATAAAATAATCGATTTTCTACCAGCCAAGTCTCGATCGAATTTACTTGACAGACTCTCGTCTTTCTCTTCATTTAATATGTCCCGGACCTACGACTACATCTACATATTCTCCCTCGTCATGTATTCCGGGTTAATTTGCCGTAATAGACGTGAGGGTTTTAGGCCCAGAATACCATAGGGAAGGTGGAAGGATAATAAGAGAAATGCAAGGATAGAAATTTGTCGCCTTTTCTCATTTTACATCACCGATCTCTCGTTGCTAATCGAATCTCCATAAAGCAAATGTGAGAGAAGGAATTGTTCCGAAATTGAGGATGGTCGGGGATCAAGACCGGATGCCA